CCTTCGCAACAAGCGACCACTCAGGGCTCATAGCCAGTATGGATCTACCTTTACCGTATTCCCGTCCGTTGAAGCCAGCTTACTACTACTCGACAGTATAACTCGAAGCCCGAACCAAGTGGATTGATCTTTGCCGCAAGCTACATCTTTGGAAGGCTGTTGGACTGTTATAAAAGTGGAAGTTACTTTACTGTATTCTCCGTTTGTATCATTGAAGTGTCGGAACTTTCGACCAGTCAGGCCGCTTTGGTTTGACAAGGAGTATGGTAAAATGGATTGGAGGTTCACAGATTGTGGGGGAATTCCTCTCCAGCCCTTCCAATGACTACGAGGTGTACGAGAGGCAGCAGTACTACAAAAACGAGCAAGCGCCGGCATTTTGAAGAGCTGCTCGCAGCCGCCGCAAAGGCCGCTCCGAAGAGGATCTTTGCTTACGTGAAGCAACGCCTCAAGCGGACAGGTGGTCTGCCATCTGTAGACGGCTCAGCAAACAGCCCTTAACCTGCAGCACACTGTCGGCAGGTGGCCGAGTGTTCTGCAAGCCTGCCTTGCACTCATAAAGTCACCGGTTCGAATCCGCTTAGGGGTGGGCGTCCTAGCGGTATACTCAGCCCGCGCTCGACTGGTGGTGGTCGCGCGGCAGGGAAGCGCCATTACGGCCTACAGCTGACACATCCTTATTTTTTTATTTCAGCGCGCCGTGCGTCCATGTTGGCGGCGCACTTCGCTTCTTTGTTTGCAACTAATGGGGTGTCTTTACCGAGTTCGGCTTGTGCCGCGTTTACCGAACCCGACAGTCTGGTTTGCGATGTTGAGGTGGTGCGTTACTTACACGCCAAGCTTGACTGTATCAAACCTGCTGGCCCAGACGGACTCCACCCACTTATTCTTAAGTCCCTGTCGGCCAACACACCTGTTGTGATTGACTTGGTCAACAAGTCACTATCCGAAGGTTCATTACCGAGCGAGTGGAAATGCTCAGTGAATAAGCCGGTTCCGAAATGCCGTGACCCCAGGAAAGTGGACAACCTCAGGCCGATTTGTCTGACACCTAGACAAGATTGTCAAGATCGTGTAGAAGAGTCTACTACAACTGTTCCAATCAAAAGATCTGTTGACGCGTGCACAGCACGGTTTCATGCCAGGCCGCTCTTTATTACCAACTTAAAGGTGACGAAACATGAATAGTTTCACAGCGAACCAAGGGAACTTTGTCGACGTAGTCTACATCCGTTTCAGTTCAAGCGTTTGACAAGCTAAACCACAGGGTCCTCCCCCACATGCTGACGGTGTGCAGTCTTGGTGGATCACTGCACTAGTGGACCCAGGACTTTCTCCTTGGACGGAAGTGAAGGGTACTGGTCGACGGCCATCTAACTGTCTGGTATCCCTCTACAAATGGCGTTCCCCAAGGCACGGCATTGGTCCCACTCTGTACCTAATCCACACCAATGATCTGCCTAAGCTTCTTCGGTCGCCGTGTGCTTTGTTTGTCGACGATCTGAAGGTTTGGAGAGTGATTAGCATCCCAATGATTGCGTCCTACTTCAGCAAGACCTCAATCGTCTCTCCATGTAGTCGGCGGAAGGCCGCACGTTCAACCAACAAGTTGGTATTCATGAGCCTAGGGTAGCTTGATGACGATCGAACTTACACCATTGACGGCCAACCGCTACATCCCACCTGTTCATTGAAGGACCCAGGTGTACTCTCCCACTGCGATTTGAAGTCCGTTGACAATACGAATGGACTGTATCGTAATTGACTACGCATGCTTTGGGTGCTCAGACGCAGCCTCTGTACTTAGTCTGAAGAGACCACCACTCGCCTCTTTCCTTCCCTCATACGAACAGCACTCGAGTACGGCTCGCCTGCCTACTGTCCAATCATACTAGGCGAGACACGGAAGATTAAACGCGTCAAGGGTCATTACAAGTTGACAATGGTTACCGTACGAAGTTTGGCGCGAGAAACTAGGATTCTGCATCTTGTGCGAGTTGATGTCATCATGACCTTCCGCCTAATACATCTAGGCGACGTCCCATGCTGTGGCCACTGCTTCACCTACGAACGCCATGGAACACACGCAGGCACCATTACAAGGTTTTGGTGCCGGATGTAAAACGATTACCTCACCTCCTGTGCTTCGAACGAAGACCGCTAAATTTTTGGTACAGTTTGCCGAAACAAGTCGTGGTGGCCAACTCTGTGCAACAGTTGGAAACGTTTTTGGATTTACATTTCACCACCATTCAATTCAGTGAAAGGTTGAACACTAGCTATGATATCTTACATTTATGAGCACAGTGTAACTGTACTTCAGACCTTTTGAAATGCTGTCTAAGAACTTGAAGAACGATTAGCTTACCACGGTTGACAAATATATTTTATCTTACATTTTTGACTATACTACGATGGAAGTTGTACAGATTTTAATTTCTACTTGCTCCCACAATACAGTGTTCGGTATTCAGTAACCCGATTTGTCTGCCTTATTCATATGCTTGCTAAGTTTCTGTCACAGATCACTCTTGACCGAGTTGCCTCTGTAATCAGTTAAGGCATCGGTGAATCTCACATTTTTTCACTGCTCCTTTTGTGTCTAAACAAGGCCAATAGTCGAACCCCGCACATTTGACTGTTTTTAGTGAATCGATTCGCTTATATGATTTCAGTTCTACCAGCATCATTTTTAAAACAGACATACTTGCTTCCGTGTCACCAGAGATATCAGCAGAATCACAGCACCCCTGTCTTCCAACCCATTTTCGGATAGAGCAACCAAGGAGATAGCAAGGGACCCGAAGTTACGCACCAAACCGGCTTGATTAGTCTGCAAGACTGCCCTTACATTGAACGTTGTTGTTGAATTGGTGCAGAAGTAGGCCTACTGGTTGAACTTTGTGGAATTCGGTGCAATTGTCGTCACAATTGGATCCACGGAATAAGAAACTGTTGAAAAACAAACATTTGAAGTCTGATGATACGTGAGGGATGCTGGAGCGGTATAGTAGTATGTAATTACTTTCCTGGTTCTTCCCAGCGTATGATACTACCACTGCTCCAGCTTAACTATTGAGTTGAGTTAGGGAGCATCGTTCAGTTTTTGACCGAACAGCCTACCTAGAAGGCAATGAGCGATGTCGGAACATTATATCTGTCGGGAGTCGATGAGTGATTTCCCGGTTCATACAACTCTAGTTTGATAATTTATCAGTAACGGACCGATCCTCCTTCAAATGTTAGTGCACATGTGCCCGATTGTAATCCTTGAGGTAGTGCTTTACTTAGTTGGAAGCCACATCCGTCAGGATGCATTATTGTTTATAAATCTACTTAGGTTTACGAGTCATAAACCCCTCACTCCATGGAATATCACCGCCGAGTTACTCGCTGGACTGGAACAATCTCCAACCAGCAAGGTTGCAACATTACTGCAGGCACGCAAGCTGAAAACCCGTGTACTTTGGGGAGATGCACACCTACGGTAAGGATGGTTATGTAAATCCACGCACAATTTCTCAGGTTTAATTCGAATGGCTTCCTGCATATGGATTTCTTTCCATGGGCAGATCTTTTTCATCACACTGCCGTTGTCAAAGTGCAATTGCCTTGTTATTCGGAAACGCCTCGAAGCAGTTCTGAATGGATGAAATATTTTTTTATTCATGGCCGCTGATTGGGTTTAACGAGAGAACTCAGCTGTTGCACTTGCTCACAGTAGAATACTCAAGCGCCGATCATTGCGTCCTAACTTCCACTCGTTTCTGATATCTTCGGTGTCAGCTGATCAATTATTAATCGGCTTACAGTTGAAATGGGGTACGAAAGTCAGTTTATTGATGTACCATCGATGATTAACAAGATTATACTCTTTTTATTTCGATTCACCATCGCTACTTGAGAAGTACTCACAACCTTTATATTAATCACGTGATGCTTCAACACCATTCTTAACACTTATATTCTGGTAGTTGTACTATATTGTCTCTTCACATGCACTTGGTTACTTGAATTGGTTCCCTCGTGAAGTATTAGTTTGGTAGTTAGGTTATTACGGTTTTTAATCTCAAACTTTAAATGTATATATCCTGGCTCAGACATAAAGCATTTATTCGAAATAAAAACCATTCGATTTGTTTCACAGTTGCCAACGAAAACCAGGTCTATTTATTTCGACTCAATAAAATTTCCGGAGTGCCAGTGGTGACGAAATCGTCGAAGGCAGTTTCAGCATCGCATTGCCTTTTAATGGTTCTCTCGGAGGAAGTTATTCAAGTGCTTGAAAAATTGGTGACCATCATGGGAGCATGATGGGTGAGACAAAGTTTCATAGCCCATCTCGTGTAGCTTCCGTAGGGTAGTTTGTGCGGCGTGCGGCGTGCGGCCGTACATTATCATAGAGAAGAATTGGCCGATTTCTGATGACCAGTGCCGTGCACCTTTGTTGCAGTTTTCAGTTCATTTTGACAATTTGTTAACAATACTTCTCCGCTGTAATGGTTTCCTTTGGATCCAGAAAGCTGTGATGGATCAGATCAGCCTCAGACCACCAACCAGTCACCAAAACCTCTTTTGGAATGCAATTTCGGCTTTGAGAAGTGTTGTGGAGCTTGATCGTTGTCCAACAATAGAAGGGTTCGTCCTCGATTGTGTTAAAGAACCCACTTTTCATCGAAAATCACATCCCGGTCGAGAAACGAGTCGCTTTTATTGCGCAGAAGGGCAGACGACACCACAGAATGATGATTTATTTGATTTTCGTTGGAATATGTTCGCTCCACGTGACTGGATCAAATTAGGGACAGTAGGCGGTCATCGCTGGATTGAAATAACACGTTGCGTAGTTCTCTGTGCTTACCTCACTTTCTTCACTCAGAGTGGCCTTATCTTCCATACTTGCCTCCTAGGCCCGCCCTTCATTTTTATCTAACAAGCCATTTTTCGAGCGTAGAGCTGCTTGTGGTTGCTCTATACCTTTTTCTCTCCTTTACGTTTAGTACCTCGGCGTGGGCTCGCTTGGTCATTGAGAAACCATTCGGGCACAATTTGGCGTCTTCAAATGAGCTATCTGACCATTTGGCTGCACTTTATTCCGAAGACCAGATCTACAGAATCGACCACTATTTGGGGAAGGAGATGGTGCAAAACCTCATCATCTTACGGTGCGTTTTACCTTTGTCGTCAGTGATGCTGCATCGAATAATGTTCCACTTAACACGGTGCTGTACGCTGATTTGCGTTCGAACTCATCGTTAACAGTGTCTCAGTATTATTTGTTCGCAAAGACATCCCAGCTCGTAGACAACTAATCTCCTCTTTTTAACTCACTCCAGCTCGAATGTTAGCCAGTATTGTTAGGCCTTCTGTTCACACCCTTTAGTCCATTTCTTAGCAACTGCGGAAAGCTGTCTAGTTGATCATTGTTTCGATTAGCGCTGCGATTAGATGGTGATTTTGCTATTGGTCTTCCGTTTTCCATTCCCTGTAACGCTGTTTGGCGCAATTTCTCTTATTGCAATGTGGGGAAGGTGACCGAAGTGTTCACCGCGTGTACAAATACACAAGTGCTGGACAACCTCCGAACCTGGCAATTGAAGATAGCTTTGCATTGCCTTGGATCGAAATCCCAAGTGATCATAAGGGCTTAGCGTCAATTAGTAGGTTCCATAACAGTGGGATTATGCGAAAGTCTTGGGCATAGTGCAACATAGGTTAAGAGTAGCACAGCCCTTCACTGCTGCCCTCACGCAGCTGTATGTTTGCAGAACTCAGAATGAACCGCAGGCCAGTTACTTTTTGACTTTAGACCCGCCTGTCTCGTCACACGACGGTCACTCCTCGGTATCAGCATTTGACACATCGTGTGATATTCGAATTGGCTTCTGATCCCCATTTGGGGGCACACTGATGGCACTTGAACTCTTCGCTCTGACCTCTAGGATAACACTGTTTATTCGGTTCACCCATAGTAATTCTCTACTGAGGAGATTTTGGGACCATATCTGTGACCACCCAGTGAGTAGCCGTCACTGAGTCCGATGGGATTTACGAAGTCGACTTTGTCTTTGAGTGTACTCAGCACGTCGCACTCGTGTTCTCGTCTGCATTCTGCTTTACTCGTTACCACATAACTACTCAGTCAGTTGGCCATTTAAATGCGGGAAGAGTGACTTACACGTTGCATTATGAGACTGCTTACTTGTATTGTTATCGTTTTGTTGTTAGGCGTCTTCCGCTTTGTCTCGCTATTTCTGCATACCTGATCCCCGAGTACACGAAGCATGACACGTGTAAGTTATATGGTTCTCCATTGCAAGATATAGTGAAACTAGGTAGTGTGATCATTTGGTACAACAGGATCGCCGAGGACGGATATTTGTTCGACTCACCCATAACAGGTCCCAAATGGGTATTCTGGGTGTTAAAAATCGGTTAAAAATGTTTAAAGATGGAGAAGTTGGGAGTGAGTTAACAGCAATTATTGAAGTGTTCGAGTGAACTACTACGACTATCCGGGCAACCGTCCCCTGGAGATCTGCTTCATGCGGGGTTCCATCCATGTTTCCACGCTCCATCTGGCTTTGTGACGGTGTGACATAAGAGGAAGCAAGCTATCACCATGTTATCTCGGGCCGTATAGCGATTAAATAGGCTCTCAAACCGGCTTCCTTGGTCGAACGTCTCTTCCATGTGTTCGGCGCCCCGTATTTGCAACAGGAAGAGCAAGTGCACCGTTACAGTACGCACCATGCTCCGATCGTTGGGCCACGTGTTGCACATGCCAGCGCATCGACTACCGCGACGTGCGTTTGCGCGCCGGGGATGTGGATTGAAGTAGAGGAAGGAAGCCCAAACGATTACTTGGTCGAGAGGAATCGAAACCTTCACTTCGACCATGACATCGGTTGATGTCTCCTGACTGCCTGGCTGGGATCTGAAAGACGATGAACATGTTTGTTTGGATACATTAGCTGAGAGTTGACGTCTTGCGTTTGTGTTGTGAGTCCCTTTGTGCCTACCTCCCTTTTAGCTTCCCCCTCCAATAGCAATCTCAAATGTTGTTGGTTTTTAAGTATTTTGGTATGCATTGCCTAATTTTTATCCTTTTGGTATTGTGCCGCATTAGCTGCGGTGTGTTCCTCACTCTCAGCTAACGTGTGTTGATGATGCTGATGACGTCTGTTCCCTTCTTTGATTTCATTACACTTCCTTGTCCACGTCGTTATCGCACCCTGATACGGATGACGACGATGGGTACCATCGCGTAAGATATTGTAGGCATTATGTTACTAACTATATAGACGTTGTTCATTGCTTGGCCACATGCTGCGTCTCGGTTTTACGTCGCATTATATTGTCTGGTAAACTGAGCGTTTTCTTGTCCCGCACGCTCGTCAATCTAGTTGCTCTCACGATTATATTAAATTTATTTTCCATTCTCTACATTTTTTTGGGTTTCCCAATAACACCGGTATATCCACTTTTAGCAACTCTATTTCGCTTAACTCTCCAGATTCACCAATAGAATTCTGCACGCTCTATGGAACTGTGAACATATTCATAATGTAACCATAACACTCAAGGAGCCCTTTGGAACAGAAGGTCGGGGCGGTTATTTTGACGAATATGGGATTATCCGGTGAGCACTTTTCCGAATTGTTTATTCACATCTTTGTTACTTTTCCAATTTCTGAGCGTTTCTTGCTAAAATCAGATTCGTTTATTATGGGATCCCGTACCCATTTGTAATCAGGGGCCAAACTTGTTTGAGCCAACTGCTGCACCGACCTCGTGTCACCACTAAGCTAGCCTAGCTACCTCTTCAGGTCCACATCCGATAGAGTGACCTATTAAAATAGCTTTACAAAGCCTGAAAGCTGTTTTTAATGGTTATTAATCCAATTTGTTTCATTGTTGAGGGTTTTTTCTTAAGTATTTCGCGTTCTCATGATACTGTTTCCACTCAGCATGTGTATATTACGAAAGCCTTATACTTATCATTGTTATGTTATCATCCCACATTTTTTCGACAATTTCGGAACTCATTGTTGGTCAACAAACAACATCAGTAGCACATCAACGATTAGAACTGATGTTCCTCTGCCACACAACCACAGGAGCCCGTGGAACGAAGGTTGGTCTAGCTTAAAACTTTATTACCCTAAGAAAACTTTCACGGTTAAGTTGCCTACACTTTATCAACAGCGTAGGGTTCCAAACAGCTGGCTCTCGTGCATACATAAAACGGCATCAGCGAGATAACTTTCTTGTGACTTTCACGGACCCTCATCCTATTCAGCCATTGCTTCGCAGATAACTCAGCACCGAACACATTTTAAACAGAGGCCGACAAGGAGAGGAGAGAGGAAGACCCGCTGACGCCGGCTGCGAGTTATGTCCTGTAATGTCTCGAGCCAACCTAAAGGCGAATCATGTGGACTCCAGCCTGGAAGGCGAGACAGACCAACAGCCAGGTATTGTTGCCAGTGACTACATTTACCGCTGACAAGTCAGCTTTTGTATACCTCGAGCCTTACGCTACCCTACCTCTGACAAACAAATCATGGCTCTTTTCAATAGGCTGTGATCGTGCATACGTAGTACGTGCCCAAGCCAACGCAATTTATTCAGTGCTCTCTGTTGTTCTAAGACACTAGCATGATTACCTCTGTTTAGCACTCACTTGCGCATCATTTCTGCGGACACGCTGGTGCCATCCGACACCAACAATGGGTTGTAGACAACAATGCTCAGACTTGAGTGCACCTCAGATCGAAGGGGCCAAGTCTCACTCCCATAGAGTAGCATGGTCTTCACTGTAGCCCTGTAAACGCGGCCATTCAGACCCAGGGAAACTTTCTGACGCAGAATGCAGCGTACCTACAAACGCTGCGCCCGTTCTGCCTACGTCCTCTGCAGAACCCGTCGTCGCTTCGGTAGTAGTCCCGAGTGGCCTCGCTCATGGCTCACTAAGCCTACCTGATTAAGGCACTCGCGACCGCATGTTCTACAGCACCATGCGCTTGATGTCGATGGAATACAACCCATCGGTGCTTGCCGCTTCCGCACTTGCCGCTTCTTCTCTGCATGCGTGAAGGCTTTCTCCTGCACCTCGGCAACTGCCTTCGTGATCAGATCGCGCCATGCACGCCGATCAACCGCCTTCGATTCCCATGATCTGCAATCAAGATTAGAACGTGTGAGGCTCACTTTAATCATGTCCTGGTAACGTAACTTTGGTTTCCCCACATGCCGCTTCCCAATACTCAGTTGACCATATAATAGCTGCTTCGGTATCCGCGTCGAATCCACACGGCTCACACGACCGATCCACCTCAGGTGTCTCAATAAAAGTATGCAGTCCACTGCATACATCCCACTTCGGCGCAACACTTCCGTGTCTGCAACTCTGTCGCCCCAGCCGATCCGCAAAATTCGTCGCAGACACTGCTGATGGAATCGCTCGAGATATCGCACATCCCGACGGTACATCGTCCCCGTTTCACTGCCGTATAGAAGAACGGACAGTACCATGGATTTGTACACCATCAGCTTCGTGCCAATGGTAAGCTGATGGTTGTTCCACACTCGGTACTCAAGCTTCCCGAATGCCGCTGCCGCCTTCGACACGCGATTACGCAACTCAACGTGTATCTGCTGATCAGTCGACATCATACGCTCAGGTAGCAGAAGCGGGAGGTGGTTTCTAATACTTCAGCACCAATGCTGATTCGCCTTAAAATTGAAGATTGCACCTCCGGTGAAGGCTGAAAGAGACAGACAGTTTTGCTTGTGTTGATGTAAGCTCGAATTTGGCGGCCGTCGAAGCCAGAGCACTAGTCATGTACCGCAACTCATCCGCGCTGTGTGAAAACAATGCACAGTCGTCAGCAAACAGCAACATACGGATAGTTGTTTCACAGTTTAAGGTTCTCGCACCGAAACGACGGGTGTTCAGCAACCCACCATCAATACGGTGCTCCACACGAACACCGTAAGCACAAACAGCATCAAAAGCACAGGACAACATCGCATGAAGATATATATTAAACAGGGCAGGAGCTAAGACACAGCCTTGCTTCACACCAGAGACAACTGCAAAGTCATCCGAGGTCTCTCCACTCAGCTGCACCCTCGCTCGCATATCATTGTGCAGACATTCAATTAAACTTACAAACTTACGCGGGCAACCAAACTTACCCAACACCAGTTACAACGCCTCGCGGTTCACCGTATCAAATGCCTTGGTGAAATCAACAAAAGACGATTACAATGGCTGGTGTCGTTCTCTGCACTTCTCTTGCAACTGACGAGCCGCAAACACCATATCTATAGTGCTGCGACCCGAACGGAATCCGCATTGCTCTTCCGCCACGTTAGGTTCCACAACCTGATTGACGAGGCGGTTGAACAGGATTCGGGCAATCATCTTGCCCACACAACTCAGCAGGTTGATGCCACGATAATTCGTGCAACATTGCTTGCTACCTTTGCCCTTGTAAAGTGGTAGCACAAGGGCATCCTTCAGCTCAGGAGGCACCTCCTCCTCAATCCATACACATTGCACCAAGTGGTGCAGCGCAGTCAACAACGCGGGTCCGCCGTGTTTGAAGACTTCAGGCGGGATCCCGTCACCTCCGGCACACTTGCCGTTTCGCAGCTGAGCAAGTGCTCTCTGTGTCTCATCCAGTATGCCGAGTATGCTGATTGCTCGAATCTTTGTTTTCGGTTGAGACCACTTCCAGGAGACCTAAGCAACATGTTTGCTCCCCCCCCCACTGTGGTGTCGTAAATTATCGTTAGTGCGATCACTCAGGCTTCTGCATTTCGTATTTCACTTTCTCTCGAATTGGCTTCGTCGTTATCAAATATTATGCTTTTCATCGTGAAACCCATGTTTAACTCACGCGATCGGCACCTGCTCGTCTTCTCACCTTTCATCTTCCACCACTGAAGATCTTCTGTAATTCCTTCATCTGTAGATCCCGATTATTGTGCTCTCAGTTACCAGTGTGCTTTGATTTCATGCCATCGTTACTGCAGTATGGATTAATTTTTCAGTGACGTTGTCCAGAATCACCTAATGCAAGTTTTATGCCTGATCGCAATGGAAACTCCTCGAACTCTGAAGGCAGATGACATCCGTGATGAGAAGGTAATCATCACATTTCACTAATTTATTTCAACATGTTACACACCCTTGAAACCCCAATTTTTGTTCTCATTTTACACTCAGATCAGTTTGTTTTTGTCATTGTCGGTACCTTGGACGCATGTTTATTTTCCACCTTTGGATCAGTTACTTTTTTACTCCCCCACTCCGAATCAACATCTACTGGCCATACTGGTAATAATAAGGAGGCTTCTATGTTACTGCAATTCGCATTGCAACACACCTCTTCGTCTCGCATGCGGATGTGGCTTCTTTACAGAGGTTCAGTTGCCTCCTTGACACCAAGGGATTGACGACTTTCTCCGGAGCGAGTTCACCATAGTCCTCTTAACCGTATCGTTCAGTTTTGCTCCTCCAGCTCGCTTGTTTCCTTCCGATTCGATTTCCCTATTTTTCAAAGCTAAGTTCAGATCATTTAAGAGTCACGATGTTTCTTACTGGAACTTCGTTTCATCGCGTTGCCAAGTTTCGTGTCTTAAAATTCCCCCCTCTCATTCTCATGTGAACCACACCCGCATCTACTTCACTCCTTACTGTAATTATGTCTGTCTTGACCACATTTCTCGACGCCCCTCCCCGTTCCACTTTGCGCTGTCGGGCGTGCACATTCTCATGGTCACCGGTAAATTATTAACTATGGTTCAAGCTCCTTCCGTTAATCACAGGTCATCATTATACTCCTTCCTTTGTACATCATATCCCATGAAAAAATTTGACCGCTAAAATTTAGTATTACGGAATCTAGTGCGTTGGATTCACATACCTTCCACCGACTACACCAGAAATCCGGTTGTATTCGTTGATGCACGGATCTATTAAGACCTGTCTTGTTTTGGGGATGCACGTAATTGGACCCCACTCCTCACATAGTCCCCGTCGGTTTACCCTATCACACATGTGCACGAATGCTCCTTTTTCGTCTTATCTCCGTTCATGTTGAGTAATAACAGTTAGTTACTTGAAGTCTCATACGACTCGATTAAGATAGTCGTGCGTAGGATCATGAGTGATCTTCTCTCATACATTGTTGCAGTCTGCCAGTTGTGTTGTTACTGATCACTTCAATTTGGTTTATCAACCCAGACCCATTCACTTGAGTCCGGAGAATTATGTTGCGTGGCCCACGTTATATTCGTCAGGCTATTTGTACTTATCTGATTATCTAGAATACTGGTGTATACACCATCATTGGCTGATAGTCATTTATCTACGAACTATTGGAGAACGATTTGACAATCGTTTTCCGTCCGCAGAACGCCAGTGCTGTGCTGGCCAGTCTTACGCGTTCCATGCAAGCGTCATCGGCACGATCACAGATACACTATGGTTACCACCAGAGTGCACTATCGAATTGGTAACCAACTATCTCGAGCCCGAACATCAGTGTGCAAACATTGGAACATAAGACGTTTTCAGTGACACAAAGTGTGCGCAACATTAAACTTACCATCCATCTCTTCAAAGACATGGCAACTTACTCCTAATCTGATACTTCTCTCCTAGAACCATGTCGCGCTATGCAAACGCATTCACCATCGGTAACGAAGTCGGTGATTCAACCCGAATACATGTAGTCGATCGTCCTTTTGAGAGGCCATGTCTACCTACTTCAACCATCTTAGATGGGGTACCTGACCTGTAAACCGTGTCATTACTCTTTCGAACAACTTTTGCACTCAATTGAGTTCATTTCACATGGCCAACATGGCCTTTCCTTGTGAAGTATCTGAAGCGGAACATCATTTCTATGACCCATCTTTATGCGTTCTAGGTCAAAGTGCTCCGCTGTGTGTCTCCTGTTTCACCTGAAGATGTGGTCATTGGCCAGTATGTTGCTGATCCTAATGCTAACGGTCCCCCGGCTTCGAGATCCTACAAGGATGACCCAACGGTGCCAAAAGATGAGTAAATTTCATCATGGTTGTCTATTTCATAACTCTCTCATCTTTGACATTTAAGTAGCATTCGGTATTTGCCCCTGCTTCTAGTCCGCTTCACCTCTTTCTACGGGGTATTCTGTTATCAAATTGGCTGTTTGCTTGATCGCACCATAATGACCAAGACGGGGTGTTTATAGCCACACTCTTTTCATCACTATCCCGACTCAGCTTCACCGCGAACTAGGCATATCGCGCTCGGTGCACTCAACTGTTAATGTTACCCCAATCGATTCATTGTCTGCCCGTGAATTAGTTTCGATGATCATTGCTCTTCATCAGGTGTCGGCGACATATACCCATTACCCACTTGAGCGCCGTACACGAAGCGTTATGCTGCACACGCCTAACACTGTGTAGCACACCAGAGCATGTGAAGTCTGTGGGTTCACATCACGACACTTCGTCACAATCTTCTTCCCAAATTAGTAGTGGTGAATCAGCAGTCATAACCGAACTCCCATGGTGGTGCTTGCTTACCTCGTTCTCTAGTCACGAATTCCGGATCTCCACTGACGCTTACGTATCAGATCCTGGATGTTTCTACCCATTGATTACTACGGAATGAACTCCGTTTCTGCGAACCTAGTCAGCTGCGTCCATAGATGAAAACTTGAGAATCGTTAGAGATTCTCCTTTGACATTCATTTGATTTAGCTGACTCCTCATATCACATCCGTCCTGTTTTCAGCGCACTGCATGATCAAACTGAAGACGAGCGGTCAATTGATTGTTTCCTGTTCGGATTTTAGGGCGTCAACCCTGTTGCCTACTAACGTCACCCAGCCGCGTCAAAAGCAAGAAAACACCGGATCAGAACACAAACATTCTATTCTAAATTCTAAGGTTCTGTACACTTAGCTGTGTTGTCAAAAACTCACTCGATCGGTCGATCGCTTGATCGCACGCATTAAGGCAGACGATTCCCTTCTCCCCAGGTTTCAGCCACCATCACAAATCCTGTGTCAAATTTCATCGTTCTACTCCTCTCTTTTCCCTTAGACTGCACACCTGTATTTCGGTCAGAGTTGCGCGCGCATACGCATGCCGTAGTCAGCGGAGCACTTAACCTTGTGGTATCTTTTCGCCTGGACTGTCTGCGATGAGTCGATAACAAGGCAACCAACTTGTCATCTTTCACTGAAGAGCGGGATGCACGAGTCGAATTCTGATTGCATTCTGATTTTGTAGTTCGATGTTCGACCAGCTTGAGAATTCTGAAGTTTTGGTGAAATTCTAAAGCATCCATTAGTTCATTTGAAGCGCTGATTTAGCTTCTTTGAATTGTAATAGCTGAAACAACAATCGTGTTACGAGTATCTCTCAAGCGTTAGCTTAACCGTGTCTCAAGACGTATCATTGGGCGTTAAACGAAAGGCATCGTGGTATCAATCTTTCTCTTACTGTCTGGAAACTGCCTACAAACGGCAGTCGAATCAATGTCAGAAAAAATGGTCCCCACCTTGGTAGGGCATACGTTGATCGCATTTTGTCGCTTCCTTGGGTACTGAGGCGGAGGCATACTTACGAACTGTTTAAGTTAGCTAATGCTATTAGTGTGTAACACTTCATTTTCCACGCGAGCTTCAATAACAGCCATAGATACATAGAAAAATCTCACCTGGAAGATGTCTGTAGGAAACGGTCAGCAGAGTAAAAAAAACAGGTCACATAGTCAGAGGAGGGTGAGAATTCCACTGCACTCGTAGGCCGAGAGATACGAAGAGGCGTACCAACAGGAAACCCTGAGTAAACTGACCGCAAAGATCACACGTGTCCCGATAGGTAATTCACCTCATAGATACGCGTAGGGAGACGGCAAACGTATCACAGAATGGGAAAAGCATCGGTGGAGCAACAAAATTGTGCATGAAACAATAAATCATCAAACAGATGAAAAATGATTCGTTCCACAAGCATGTGACACAAATGCAGCCTTAGTCCGTTGACATGACGGTCAACGCAGTACAAACTGCAATATATAGGTGTACAGCACTTGTGTACATGCTTCGTAATTCGACGCATCTCGGCGCGATGCGTTCAGTAGAAAAAACCTCATGCATAATCGACGCAAATAAATGATAATCTAGGGAGTGAGGCAAAGAAACGCAGAAAAATCTCAGAATAGAGAGAAAGAATGAAGGCAGAAACAATCTATCCACAGTAATGAAATCATTGGCTTCTCGCCGTGGCACAGTGAAAACAGTATCCAAATAATGGTGTAATAGATTCCATGCGTACCACATAGTAAGACACCTGACGTCAGTTGTGCATCCAACTTCAGACGTCCTAGCTGTGGATGGATCTCGGAGACATCGATCAGTTTGATCAAAACACAGAAACAGATTCCAATGGGCAGTGTGTATCAGCGTGCTCCCAACGCCCTGAAAGGACGAATAACAAAGAGTACTAGAATTGACCGTTGATAAGTGGGATGGAGAACGCCAGTGCTGTTGGGAACAGCCGTGTGGTATTCCAGCTCATTTGGAACACAAGTCCAAGAGAGCCATCAATCAGTGAAGCAATAACCCACAAAGAGGGACATTTGATCCAATCTCATGGTCTTCGACTAGCCCGCTGGGCAGAACATTTTGGGGAGCAGTTCAGCAGACCTGCTGCGACACTGCCCTCTGCTGAATTACCTGAGCGCACGCGGAAAGTTGATGTTACATCTCCCAGTTTGGAAGAGATTCGATATGAGCTTTCCGTTTTGAAACGGAACAAGGATCATTGACCCGACGACTTTGCTCCATCTTTACTGAGAGATGAAGGTGATTTTGTTGACTGGACTTGCTGTTTTATTGAACACGATTAAGGACACTGAATAGGTGCCAAAAGTTTGGTGTCTGTCAATTGTCTTGCTCATGGCCCAAAATACCAAAGAACAATTTTACGAAAATCATCGACGCATTAGTCTTCTTCTCATTGCCTCCAAACTTCTCACTGGTATTATTCTTCATCGACTTACTGGCCCTCGTCGTGTGAGCCGACTAACTGAAAGGGAGGCTAACTTACGCCATGGTCCTGGTGGCATCGACAGTAAGTTCACTCTTCACCAAGTGGTAAAGCAGAGACACTTACAGGCAACCGACTATGATGGATGATCTGGAAGCCGCCTTCGACTCTGTTGATCGTGCTGAATTGTGGCAGAGCTTCACTGTGAAGGGAGTGCTCGCAGGAGACCTTTCCATTATGAGGTCTCTCTACCGTGTCTAGAGACTGAGTAAGGATGTAAGAGGAGCTGTCTCCTTATTTCCTACCTTGGGTAACTATCAAGTGCATCAGCCAAGGATGCTTGATAGCTCTATCGAACAGAAAGATTGAGAAGGTAGGTTATTTGTGTGTATGTTACAGTCCATTGCAGAGGCCAGACCTTACCGTGGTGCGATGGTTTGTGTGCCTCAGCGATCCATTGAGCTGTGCTGGGCGGTGCTTTTTTGTCCCTTCTGAGCCACACATACCAGATTAGTCAAAGGTTAGAGGCCAAACAATGTCAGCCTGCTGACCCTCCGGGTTGGGCGTTGGAATAAGGTTGGCTCCTTATTCCTTAAAACAAACTTCTTGTAGCCGAACATCAAACCCGCTGCATTGCGGTCAGGTTTTTGAACCAAAGGTTTTGGTTGAGAACCCAAATCGTTCTCCTGTCTAGGCCTGGGCAACCTGACAGTATCCTGCTCACGCAGTACTATGAATCATTCATCAAACAATTTCTTGATGCTCTGGCCACCGCAGAGGATAATCAACGGTGCCCTATCAACTGCATCGAGCAGGGTGGATAGGGGTTTGGATGCTACTGCTCAATCTTTCCCGTCTTCTTATTCCCCCTCTTAGGCTTTTTCACTCTTACCATCCCGTTCCAACTTCACTTATATCCCCTCAGTTTTTAAACCCCCTGATTCTCGGCTTTCCCCCACCTTGCTTTGATAGACTTTTAGTTTCATCTCATATGCGAACGCGGAGTGTCATTCCTCCCTTGTCGACAAGTCCATGTCCAAGCGTGAGGCCAGGTTCAGCTCATCGACTTCCATTCGGAGCCCTCGATCAGCCTTCAGATTAACATGCCTCAATGTAGGCACATTGCTTCAGATCGGTCAACAGACAGCACTTGCCCTAACTTTAGGGACTCTCTCGATCGATATCTGCTGCTTATCGGAGACCCACCTACAAAACTCGAGCTCAGTGCTCACTTTGCGATCCCCTTTAGGTGACACCAGCAGCCCTTTCTCATTGCGCCTATCCGGTAATGATGCAGCTTCTAGCACCGGCCAAGCCAGTGTTGGTATTGCCCTGAGTCCCCGGGCCGAAGCTGCTCTGGTTGATTAGATTCCAATCATTAGCCGATTATGTGCGGTCCGATTGGCTGGCTCGTTCAAAGCTTCGAAGTCGCGCGAGACTCATAGGTGTCTATTCGTCATCGCTGCAAATGCACCCACAAACTGTAATGATGACTCGGTAAAAGGCGACTTCTATAGCCAACTGAACGAGCTCCTTAGCCACAGAAGAAGCTCGGACTCTGTTGTGCTGGTTGGGGATCTGAATGTTCAAGTTGAGAAATTATCCGCTAATGAGCTGCATTTGGGCGACGAACATCGTGTATGCTCTCGTAATGATAACGGAGAACGTTTACTCCACCTGTGTGAGGATGCTCGGTTATTTCTTGCGTGCACTAACTTCCGACACGGCACTCGCCTACCTTAAACCAGTCTTGCACAGAAATTGATCATGTCGCGACCAGTTACCGGTGAAGAGGCTGCGTCCAAAACTATCACTCGATTTGGAGCACATGTGTGGAGGTTGACCTTGCACTTGTATGTGCTTATTTGCGAATGAGTTGGTGTACACCCTTGACGACCGTGTGAGCGTATTGACACCAGCCAACTGGCTAAGCCAGATGTTCTGAATGCGCATCAAGGTACGCTGGCATTCGGGCTGAATAAGCGCTCAGTATATACAATTGAGAGTTAGTGGTTGCATGTTCACCAGACCTTACTATCAACAAGCAAATCCTCATGTGGTAAGTCTAAAAGCCAACCTGGACACTGGGTCTCGAACTTATCGATGCTCGCCGGCACATTGCGGCTTTGAACGAACACAATAAGAACCGCATAGACCTCAGGGCAAAACTCATTGCTAGCCCAACGTGATGTCGGGAATTCTAGTGGTCTCACCGTGCGTCAGAGATGGAACTGGCCGCCGCCTTGATAACCACCGGAAGTTATGCCGTCTGATACGGGAGGCGTGTAGCAGGGGACTTGGTTTTAGTGAAACTATACGTGATGAGAATAAACAACACATGCTCAACGTGTCGAAATAGCTAAAGCGTAGGGCTGAGCATTTTGAAAGACAGTTGCATTGGCCGGACTTTCAGATTCCTCGTCGACCACTGATCGCCCAGCTCCCTGGGCCGTCCTTTTGCATACGCTCTCTCGCTCAGAAGTCAAACATCAAGTCCCTCACTTCGGAGTTAGCGTCAGTTGGTGTCTTCCGACTGTAGGGCTGGAGTTCTAAGGACCATGAACACTGGTTGGATATATTTGTTGACATAGCGGTCGTGTTGTGAGTTTTTTTTATCCCACTTCTACCGGGTTATGTTCCAATAGTAGCCACGTTCCCACACGCGATGCATAATATAATACGAAGCATCGTATTACTTGCCATATTATCTTGTATCCGGCAATGGGTTGTATCTCGCCTTTTTATATATCTCAGTGTGTAATAAAAAATTAGTGAACCGATTCACCACCTGCCGTGGCTGTTGGTAATAGATAGAACAGGTGCGTATCGGTCCGGTCTTGCAACAGTACTTCGTACTTTTAAACTGCGAAGCACGTGCCCAAGAGTGCAGCATACACACCAGTCTATCCAGTATTGTTTGCATAGCCACAGCGTCGAACCCAAGGGGAGCTATGCCGTTCCCATACTCAAGGCTTCTCAGTCGGTAGCACTGCGGAACTTCCACTGGAAATCTGAAAGTACAGTCATTTATCCTTATTTCGATAATAAAGTTGAAGAGGAAAGGAGATATAGGACAGTTCTGGCAAGGCCAAATTATCTTGGAAATAAGGAGACAGCTCCTCTTACATCCTTACTCAGTCTCTAGACACGGTAGAGAGACCTCATAATGGAAAGGTCTCCTGCGAGCACTCCCTTCACAGTGAAGCTCTGCCACAATTCAGCACGATCAACAGAGTCGAAGGCGGCTTCCAGATCATCCATCATAGTCGGTTGCCTGTAAGTGTCTCTGCTTTACCACTTGGTGAAGAGTGAACTTACTGTCGATGCCACCAGGACCATGGCGTAAGTTAGCCTCCCTTTCAGTTAGTCGGCTCACACGACGAGGGCCAGTAAGTCGATGAAGAATAATACCAATGAGAAGTTTGGAGGCAATGAGAAGAAGACTAATGCGTCGATGATTTTCGTAAAATTGTTCTTTGGTATTTTGGGCCATGAGCAAGACAATTGACAGACACCAAACTTTTGGCACCTATTCAGTGTCCTTAATCGTGTTCAATAAAACAGCAAGTCCAGTCAACAAAATCACCTTCATCTCTCAGTAAAGATGGAGCAAAGTCGTCGGGTCAATGATCCTTGTTCCGTTTCAAAACGGAAAGCTCATATCGAATCTCTTCCAAACTGGGAGATGTAACATCAACTTTCCGCGTGCGCTCAGGTAATTCAGCAGAGGGCAGTGTCGCAGCAGGTCTGCTGAACTGCTCCCCAAAATGTTCTGCCCAGCGGGCTAGTCGAAGACCATGAGATTGGATCAAATGTCCCTCTTTGTGGGTTATTGCTTCACTGATTGATGGCTCTCTTGGACTTGTGTTCCAAATGAGCTGGAATACCACACGGCTGTTCCCAACAGCACTGGCGTTCTCCATCCCACTTATCAACGGTCAATTCTAGTACTCTTTGTTATTCGTCCTTTCAGGGCGTTGGGAGCACGCTGATACACACTGCCCATTGGAATCTGTTTCTGTGTTTTGATCAAACTGATCGATGTCTCCGAGATCCATCCACAGCTAGGACGTCTGAAGTTGGATGCACAACTGACGTCAGGTGTCTTACTATGTGGTACGCATGGAATCTATTACACCATTATTTGGATACTGTTTTCACTGTGCCACGGCGAGAAGCCAATGATTTCATTACTGTGGATAGATTGTTTCTGCCTTCATTCTTTCTCTTTATTCTGAGATTTTTCTGCGTTTCTTTGCCTCACTCCCTAGATTATCATTTATTTGCGTCGATTATGCATGAGGTTTTTTCTACTGAACGCATCGCGCCGAGATGCGTCGAATTACGAAGCATGTATACAAGTGCTGTACACCTATATATTGCAGTTTGTACTGCGTTGACCGTCATGTCAACGGACTAAGGCTGCATTTGTGTCACATGCTTGTGGAACGAATCGTTTTTCATCTGTTTGATGATTTATTGTTTCATGCACAATTTTGTTGCTCCACCGATGCTTTTCCCATTCTGTGATACGTTTGCCGTCTCCCTACGCGTATCTATGAGGTGAATTACCTATCGGGACACGTGTGATCTTTGCGGTCAGTTTACTCAGGGTTTCCTGTTGGTACGCCTCTTCGTATCTCTCGGCCTACGAGTGCAGTGGAATTCTCACCCTCCTCTGACTATGTGACCTGTTTTTTTACTCTGCTGACCGTTTCCTACAGACATCTTCCAGGTGAGATTTTTCTATGTATCTATGGCTGTTATTGAAGCTCGCGCTTGACGCGCACCTGCTTTTTTGTTGGATACATCGCTCGGCGATGATGGGTGCGGTTGACAATTGTCTGGGCGTGTTAGCGTAAAGCGGCTTCGGTCATAATTGATTTACTCGTTAGTAGCTGTACTTTTCCGAATTTCTGGTTCGTTTACTTATCCAGTTCTAGTAGGGAAACGCTTATTCACGCATTCGGAAATTGGCAGTACTATTCTGTTACCTATTAGGTAGGCGTAGAAACCGAACAACTTCTTTATCGGTGGGCTCATCAGGAAAACGTTTTTGGATCTCCAGATGTTTTAATTAGCCGTTTTTAGATGCATTACCTGGACACATTCTGAATAACTGCGCTCACCTCTATTCACAAGCAATAGCCCTCGTCGTCCATCTTTTAAATGTACCTCATTGTAAATATTTCAGCAATTTGCGATGTATTTTTAATTCACTTTCCTCGGTTTTCCTTTTGTAGACTCCATCACTCCAACCTACGTATGTATGGTGCTGAGAGTGGATAACCATCGTTGGCAAAATGTTCCCTTCGTTTTGCGCGCTGGCAAAGGTGAATTACGTCTGAAATCTCTTCTTTCGCCTCCAGCCTTGTTTCCCTCTTTTGCTTGTGCGGTTTACAGGGAATATCCAATTGTTACTTCTCACTTATGCGATGCCGTCTTAATCCTCCCAATAACTTCTTCTGATTGAAGTTCGCGTGTTCAGTTATCTTGCTCTCTTACTAAGGTGGACCAGCGTCAAACGTTTTATCCATTTTCTTTTATCTGGCTAACCAACACAGCGATCCATCCCGACTGCCCTCCTCCTTTGCTCCCCCTGCGATGCACGGGCGCGCGGTAGTGTTCATCGTCGAACGATATTTTACGTATGCACTCGCATCATCCCCAACTTGACTGCGCGTGTGGTCGTCAGTATAAATCATTACTGTTCATCTCGTGTGATAGATATCCTACGCGTAGAACGCTGCTAATTCGTGCTGAAAGCAATCGAAATTCGTCCTCCGATTGCCCGGACTAGCGTCTTCGTAATTCTTGCATCGATCGGGCATTTATTCTCCCAAAGCGGTTGCATTGTCTATTTCTACTATCCCATTCTAGCTATGTCTCTATATCACCTTGCTTCGCCTATTGGTGGTGCATGCTATCGGAAACGAGTTTCAAAGCGTCCGTGACACTCTCGCGACCTTCTATGAGTCTCAGCATTCACCTTGATTGTTGGTAGTTGAAGAGGACCTATGAGATAGCCAGTGCCAACTGTGGTGATCGAGCGCTGTTTCGATCCGTCCACTGGGTTCCTAGTAGTGATGCAGTAATTGGGAAAGGGGAATAAGCATTTTACAGTCACATCAGATTGGATATTAGATTTGACACTTTGAACAACAATTCAGTCGGTCCCTCACCATCTCGGAACCGTACATTGGGTCGCCTTTACTTGCCAAGGACGCAGATGTCACGGTCCTGCTTGTTCGATGAGATCCAGCAGGACTCTGACCCTGACGACCCTCCTACAGCGTTACCGGATTGTGCTTATTCACTGGTGACCGGTTTAGTTAATGTGTTCGCCACTGTTATATAAGCACAGTCATCAACCATCCGTCTGTGGTTGCCACTTGCTTTTCTTCTCCTTAATATGAAACAAAAAGTTGCCCCACGAAAATTGTCGACTGATTAACCTCATCATTTTTATCTCTGAACTATTCATCTGCATCAGATTTCAGGAGCTCACTTATTGTCGTAGGAGTTAAATCAGTGGGTCGTGTTGGCTTCCTCTCCGTCATTGAACGCGTCGCACAGCGCTCTCACTCAACATAGTTCATTACGCCGCTACCCCCTGGTATGAATTGTGCTCCTGCTTGTTTTGCTCACATCGGTTTGTCGTGCAACTTTCTCTTGAGAGTATGTCGGAACAATTGCTTCCCGTTACACTGTCTGTCCACTGCAACACTCTGAAGTGCGTGGAAAGTCGCGGGAATCTGTCCGCTCAGTTCACCACATTTGTGGAGTTCGTTAGGACTAGTCTGTCCGTCCACACCATTACAAATGCGACATGTCCGTGAATGTTTTTTTGTTTTTGTCTTTACTGTCTCTCCGATTAAAGTCAAATTTACACATCGATAATGATGCGGATCTCTTGAAACCGGACGCATTTGGTGCACAAACGTTTCAATGTATGCTTCGTTCTTTTAAACAGTAATGCAGCGATGAGTCGATGCCACCGATCCACGCGTCACGGCACGCGTAGTGATTGATCGTTTCACTTGACCAGGTAGCGGTGTCACATTTGCTGGTAAAGTCACAGAGCTTGAGTGACTTTTATAAAATCTGTCATTTATTACATGGTGTAATATAGGCTTATCGATTATAAGTTCAACGCTGCAGTGTTGGTGCTAGAATCAAATCAATGAGCACAGCATATTGAAGGTGTTAAGAGATTGGTTGTGATTAATACCTGGTGCCTGTGAAGTATTGCCCAAATTTGTTTGGAGCCGCCGCATCAGTAACGCTGGTGTTTAGTCATAAACCCTCTGATACTGCAATGTCCGTTGAACTAGATTCACCCCTCACTGGTTCGGTTACGCCCGTCGTTAGCCTAACGGCCGCCTTCCCTACGGTGTTCTGTTCGTCACTGTTAAGCTCATTTATCTGAAGCTCCAACATGGTCAACCATTAAAATGACACGAATGAGCTATCCAGATAACTTTGTTGACCTATTGCACGTCACCCTCCTGGCTTGGGACTCATTGAGATGAGCCACTATCGGGGGTTTCTTTCGAATGTGGTGTGGCCACGAGGTCAGTGGGACTGTTTTCCTTCTCTTCCTTGCTCCCTACTTTGGGCTCTCACATTTAATGCTTCTCTCTTGCGTACATTTTTCTAATTCTCTTACAGGTCATATTCATACTGTCTAAATCAAGACATCCAAAACTACCGCACTTCTATGCCCGACTCTGTTGATTCGCTAAATCCAACCATCAGTATACCGCTGTTTCAACTGATATCTCGGCACGATTCATTTACTGCCACTGAACTTTCTTCAACCATGTCGCAATTTTCACTCCGTTTCTGTTTCAGTATGACAACCCTGTTGCTCGTTGCCGTACCCTTGGTTAATAATGGCCTTAAATTCCGCTTTTGGAGTTAAATCAACCCAGACTAATCCCGATAAACATCCGCCGTCGATTTTGTAAGATGACTTGTGACAAACAGATTTATTCCGCTGATCTACTTATCACCACCTGCAGTTTGTGCGCCGAATGCATGGATTCTTGATTTGTACTTTTTATCCTCTTTCTACTGAGCTCCCACTGCTCCCTTAAGCCGGGTGACCTCTGGCTTATTGTCAATTATCAGCAATTCCTACTTTTACTGATTAGATATTGTTTCCTGCTATACTGTAATTCATGCATCTACTCTGTGTTTTCCTTGCAGCGCTGAACGAACAAAAGGCCGAGGTGCGCATTCAGTTCAAGGAGGTCTGTACAGATTTGTTTGATTATGATACCGTGTTACGCAACGAATTGGTCATTCGTGTGCAGCCAAATGAAGCCGTCTACGCTAAACTGGTCACCAAGACTCCTGGTATGTGTTTCAACACAGAGCAAACCGAACTGGATCTGACCTACTCCAAACGCTATCAGGTTGCGTTCTGTTCCATTCCGTTTGTTTTGTTTGCTTCATCTGCATCACCGTAATGTGTCAATCAGCACACCTCGTTTCTACCTCTGTACATACTTTCATTACACGCCTGAAATGTCTACTTGTTCCATCCTGAGATCCATCACGTTTCACATTTGTGATAATTGCTCTTCTCATCCCAAGCCGCTTGAATTTAGTATCCACCTTCAGTAATCTCGAAGAATCCACCTGCATGTACTACGATGCGCTAAGGATTCGCTGATACTCAGTTCAATCCATCTGAGTCTAGGGCATCGGCAGTACGCCGATGCGGCGCACCAGCACTTCGCTGCCACCTGACCATTACCGGTCGTGCTTGGGCTGAGTATGCTGCTAGATTGCGCGCACATACGCAGATTCGAACCGGTGACCCTTGGCATACGCGCCTCATCCCTTCAGTATAAGTATCGTCCGAAACCGCACCCGAGTTGTGGACGCATCTTTAATGACATCCTCGCTCTTTTTTGCCGTGGCTTTTTGAAAGTTGTCATCTAGGACCATCAACTAAGGTCCTCGAATAAATTTGTCCAGTATTTTGTCCATTTGTTCCCTGCTAGTATTTCGTGTGTAGGATTTTTAAGCTTTATCTAGCACTTGCTGTGCAAATTCATGGGAATTTCCATGGCAAGTTCGTACTTCACACATACCTTGGTATACTACTACGTGCTAGGCGTTATATCCTGCCAGAGCCTCTAATTTGTTATATTGAGGATGTTGCGACGTCACCCGCTCCTACTGGAAATCGAAACGGATAACCAGGCAGCCGCTTCGGTAACCATCCCACTCAGTGACTGGCGCACAGCACACAGATTTATTGATGGACTTACACGCGAAATATGCCCGTCCTGTAAACCGCCTTCGCATTTCAGTCACTGAGATCTTTTAACCTAACTCCGCTACTTTAAGCTACAAATATCACCTGCTTCTATGCCATTACAATATTCAACCCTGACGAGTCGCACCATACTAGTTTTATTGCAGTTATCTTGTTTCGGTCACGTTGGCCATCGGAGATATTTTTAGGCACCTTACGGTCTTAGTGTGGCTCAGTAGCTATATACACTTTCCTTACTGTTGTTTTCCTATCAGAACCTCAAACTTCCTGATGCCTACGAGCGTCTGATCCTTGATGTACTTTGTGGCAATCAGACCAACTTTGTCCGCCACGATGAACTTCAGGAAGCGTGGCGAATACTGACTCCGCTTCTTGATTATCTTGAAGAGAATAGAATTCAACCACAACCATACATTTTTGGCAGGTGAGCTTGCGTAACTGTTGTTTACCACTGTGTTTTTGCCCCATTTTAGTGACGCTTCTCTAGAGAATCGCACAGATATGCTTGATCATTGATGATCGATTACAAGCACTGGCTCATGTATACGCATAGAAAGAAATGAACGATTGTCCTTGAAAGCTATGTAGTTTACATATATCCAACTGAACGCATATCGAGTTTTCAACACACACACGCACTGCGATGGTGTGATCCAATAGGATATGCCTGTCAGCACAACAATCGCTTTTAGTTAGTCCAGTTTCGATGTCACCTGTTACAGTCTAATTTAACGTCTTGTTGGACTTTATTTGTAAGGCATGCTTATATCTACGTATTGACTCCAAGAGAAGCACTCAGCCATAGTTTGTCAACCAGCTTTCTTTCTGTGTGTACAGCCGATGGTTGTTGGCTTTGCTGCGTTTTGCATTCCTTTTGGAGACACTGAGCCGTTTCTCATGTGATTTTGCATGATCGACGCTTGGGGTTTTTGTATACCACCGGGTTCTTCAGATCGATCTTTCAGTTCGATCGCAGTTCGCCGTTCATTAGTCGACTATCAAGAAACCTAACCACCGCGTCCAGCCTTTTGTGCTTGTCCATGTAAATACAAGCCCGCTTGCTCTGGACAAGTGTTTTTATCGCTGAGCTACGCGTTTTCCTGTATCTATCTTTCCTTGGTTGTGCAGCCCTTATTCATTATCTCATAATCCCGCCATAATCCGTTTTATCTTCCTCTTTAATTCCAGCCGCGACGGCCCCGAATCGGGTGACTTACTTCGTAAACGAGCTGGATATCGTTATTCTGGAACCTACTCTTGGCCGTTCAATGCAAATGGAAACTAGCTAACTGATGGTCTTTGTCTTTTGTGGTTATTGACTTCGATCCGCACTCCAATCTGATGGACATCACTCTATTTTTTTCTACACTTTAACCAGTTTTAAGTCTTTCTATTCATAGTCGACCTTTGATCTGATTCGTACAACGTTTTGCTACGACGCACTTCCGCCACCACATTTTTTATTTGTTTTGATTGCTGATGCTTCAGTCTGGTTCTTTGTCTAAATTTCTTTCTTGCTATTCCTTGTCGCACTTTTAAACAAAACGGGGATCGGCATCTTTGTTTGTTCACTGACGTGATCAAGCCTGTTACATATCTGGCACACACCTTCTTGCCTATCTTACTCATTCCTTGTAAGTAACAATCAAGCTTCGCTGTTTGCCCACAGCCCATCGCAATCTGTCAAAATCGGTCCTAGCATTAGTGTTCAGTCCTTGCGGAGTCATTTCCCCTGTCTCCATAGATTCAAGAAGCAGTTAGACAAAACGACTGTTTTAGGGCAATGAAGACACTAACAGCCGAGCAACATCTGTGGCCTTACCACTAGGTTATGTTTAATTTTGTTCACAATCACTGAGATGGCCAAATTCTCATGACATCACCCTGCGAGAAAACTATGGTTACCGTCCAATCATCGAAGGCCCTCACTTCGAAGTTGGCCTCAGTTGGAGTGTCTTGGCTCCCTGGTTGGTGTCCGAAAGACGATGAACACGTTTGGCTGGATACACTTGTTGATATGGCTAGGAGCCGACCTCAGTGGCGTTCGTGGTGTGAGTTTCTTTGTCCCACCCCATCCCTCTTAGCCTCCTCCTCCAACCATGATCTCATTATTTAGCATTTTATAATTTTGCATAGTAAATTATATTTTTCTGCTGCATAGTAGCCGGCTGGTAGCTTACCGGCACGATGCATATCTGTTACCGGTAGCTCAGCTGTCTTGCACCCGTTGCTTTTTATTCCCTTTTTTCTTTTAGGTATTGCGGCACAGTAGCTGAGGTGTTTCCCACCTCTAGCTAACGCGTATAGTGTGTGTGTGTCCAATCATCGATCAGTGTTTTCTTGTTGTAAATATGCCCACCAACTTGCGCAACAAAGTACTTGTATGACTACCTAATTGGCGCTTCCGACAGACGAGCGTAGGGGACGCACAACGGAAGCGCGGCGGCTGCATGCATATATGTATACAGGGCTTAGTACTGGGACCGCACTTAATCCTGGTGGTTATCACTAACCTGGCAAGAGTTATCGTTTCAAATTCCCTGTCTTTCACAGATGACCCTATGATATGGCAAAATATTAATAGCAGTAAAAATCATGGTTTTCTCAAAAGTGACCTGGATTTTGTTCATGCGTGGTCAACGGGGTACGTACCCTAGTTTAACACAGTCACTTGCAAGGTGATTTACCAGCATTATCAACCGGTGAGCGCGTACAAGCTTGAATAGTGCAGTTGGCAGTAAGTTTCTCACATGTGTGACCTGGGATACTTGTACAGGACGATCTTGGCTGCTCGAAACAATCCGAGAAGGCGTTGAGAGCCGACACTCACCACTTGGGTCTTCTTCGCAGAGCGTCCGGTCGGTTTGGCCCCTCAATCTTCCCTCAAATGCTCACTCCCTATGTGCGACCGCATGTGGAATACGTCATCAAAGCATGGCACATTGTCGTATGCATACACTTACCCCCTTATACATGTCATATCATAATCAACTCTTTTACCTTTCAGCTGATGCACCTTTGTTGTTAGACCAGTAAAGCGTATACTTCATACTCCATGTTATTCCGTCTGTTGTGCTATCTCCGTCTAACACATCAATTTACTAGTCTAACAACACAATGGACCGCTATCTTCGTCCTCATAAATTCGACACTGATTTAAATGCTCCAGTTGCCTCTAAACAGTGGATGTACTGACTTCGAACGTTCAAGGTCTCTCTAAAGCGAGTTCATTCTGACGACTCGGATAATCTGGGCGTACTTGTCAACTTTCTGTCTCTTTCCGTCTATCAGCATGTCGTTGAATGCAAAACCTTCGAAGTGCTGTTTCACTTCTTCAGTCCTTATATGTGCGTCCTAAAAATGTGCTTTTTTGCTCGATATCTTTTCACTACGTGCAAGCAGGAATGTGGACAAAATATCCATCAGTTTGTGCAGGCCGTCAAACTTTTATCGAATGACTGCGATTATCGTTCTCTCTCTGCTAACGAATATTGCGACGACGCCATGCGTGATGCTCTCATAACCGGCTTACAGTCAAACAGCATTCGAACGAGGCTCTTGGAGCAGCCAGTCTTGAATTTTCAAACTGCTTATGATATGGCAAGGTCGCTGTAGGTTGCTCTGAAAGAATCACAGTTTTATGGGACTGAAACCATTTCCTGTGTCTCGACGCATTCTTCTCCACTTACTCATCATCACTTCACTAACTCAGCTGAGGGTGAACCGATTTTGTTAGCGGCGCCCACGGCAACGTGCTATTTTTGTGCATATCCTAAACGCCTCACTTAAACTGTCCTGCGAAAGACGCCATTTGCAAAGCTTGTGGAAAAACGGGGCATCTCAAACTTCTGTGTAAATCCATATCCTCTACTTCATCCATCACTTCAGCGTTACATCCATGTTTATCTTCTGTTTTGACAGCTGCAGCTCCAAGCTGCTTGTCTCACACAACACCGGAATATTCGTAAACAACACTGAACTTCATGCCCTAATTGAGACTGGCAGCTTTGATAATTATGTATCTCAATCCGTCGTTTACTCCCACCACTGGAAAGTCTATCCTTGTGAATCCAAAATCACTATGGCTTACATCTCTTTGTCCTGCACCGTTACTGGATATTGCAATTTTCGGATTTGCTACCTAAACGTTGTATACAATGACATTCGGCTTTCCGTTCTGTGTAATCTATGTGCTGATGTATTACTCGGCCATGACTTTCTTGGCTTGCATAATAAAGTTGAAATATTCGGTGGGGGGCGCGGCACTTTCTCGCTATGTGGACTAACTGCAGCTTGCATCAAATCACCACTATTTGCGAACTTGGCTTCTGACTGCAAACCGTTCGCCACAAAGTCTCCTCGATATTCAATTGATGATGAACATTTTATTAAAGCCGAAATACAGCGATTCTTAAACGACGGCATCATTGGTTCATCAAGCTCTTTCTGGGGAGAACAGGTACTGGTTACTGAAGTACCAATCATAAAAATGGATAGTGGTTGATTACAACCAAACGATCAACCGTTTCACATTGCTAGACGCCTATCTGTTGCCACGAATTAACAGAATGATGGAAACGATTTCTCCTTATGCCGCATGGTGTACACTGGATCTGAAAAATGCCTATCATCAGATCCTGATCGCTGAGCACGAGAAGCCGTACACCGCCTTTGAAGCATGCGGCAACCTTTTCCTGTTTTCCCGTATCCCATTCGGAGTCACTAATAGTGTGACTTGTTTCCAGCGTACTATCGACGGGATACTAAAAACGGAAGATCTCAGTAATACATTAGCTTATATGGACAACGTTACTACGTGTGGTTTAACTACGGACGAGCAAAATCGAAACCTGCAGAAGTTCTTGATAGACGTTGCTAAATACGGTATAACTTTGAACGACGCTGAAACCATCACCGCTGGTGAGGGAATTCATCTCCTCGGTTACCATCTCTCGGCAAAATCAGGCCGGATCCAGAGCACATGAAACCTCTGTGTCAACTTTCATTTCCAACTGATCTAAAATCTCAACGATGCGTTGTTGGCACATTTGCCTATTACTCCCAGTGACTCAGACAAAATCTTTCCTCCCTTGAAAAATCGGATCATCCAACGCGTGTGGAAAGTACATTCGAACAGCTTGAAATTTCTTTGAAAAATGCTATGCTTCTGAAAGCTTCAAACACCCCCCCTTATCCAGTGTAAACCCGAAGGAATAAGACCGGGATGCATGTGGATAAGAGTCACGTTTCATCAACGGAGCTGGCCCACACTCTTTCAAGTACGCTGTATTTGGGAATCAAGCGCACACGAGGCGGTGGCTAGACCGTAGTCCGCTCCATACTGAGTGCATGAAACCACTCTTTGAGTCTAGCACGACCACTAAGGCAATGCAGCACGTCCCCTTCAGCGACGACCAACTGTCTTCTGGAGCCAGTATGGACGAGTTAGTGGGTAACAGACATATATATATATATATATATATATATATATATATATATATATATATATATATATATATATATATATATATATATATATATATCCATCGCAGGCTACCTGCTGACGTTTGCTCTAGCCGTCACTACCGAAAGAGGCCCTCAGGTTGAACCCATCATCTGCTTAGAGACGCTCAAAGTGCTAGGCACGTATCGCACTGCCGCCTGCTTTTCTGCTCCGAATGGTATGGTCGAGCGTTTCCAAAGTTAGCTCCAAACGTCTCTCAGTACAGTTGAGGCACTCAACTGGATGGAAGCATTTCCCGTGGTATTGTTGGATATACACTCAGGAATCAAGCTCGACCTCCAAACGTCTAGCGATGAACTTATCTCAGGACAAACCTTACAACTTCCTGAAAATTTCTTCTACTGTGTTCCAAACTCTTACCGCTTAGACGCTTCTAATGCTCAACAACATACTGCTAAGCATCGTTTATCTCTACCGTTCGAACTCGGGGTACTCAAGCGTAAATCTTTCGTTCTTCAAAACTTGAACCGTTGCTCCCGCGTTTTTGTTCTCCTTGACTGTATTTGCAGGCATCAGCATTACCCCGGTTCGCAGTACCTACGCTTTGCTCCTGTGTAGCCACCACCGATCGCACGTGCGCTAAAAATACTGCGAGAGTCGCGCTGCACCTGCGTAGCCTTGAATCAGCGCCGTCAGATTACAATATAAGCTTGGTACCTTTGGGCTACAGTCCGGCCGACTGTATTTGCATATTTTAAAAGCGGTCATAAGAAGTGATTTAAATTCATTCGACCCTAGCATCGAGTGTGCATTATAAAGCG